CAATAAATAACAGTGATTACATGGACTTTATAAGATTATTTTAATTTTAAACTGTTACATTATGTTCTGCTCACATTGAGCTAAATAAGATCAAATCTGCTGACTTGTGTTGTAAAATGAGACGTTTTCCTGTTTATCTTCTGTTAATAAATCCATAACACAAACAGCTTTTCTGACATTATTTAAAACATTAGATAGATTATATAAACTGTAATATATTAATAATAATTTGATTAATGCTATTATTAATAGTTTTAATGATTTCTACATCATCAGTCCTTTTTTTTTATTTGTTGTCAACATGTACAGTAATGGGAAATCCAGTCTTGACCGTTTAGCGTTAGCCGTTAACTTCTCCAGTCGATCACATGGTCACCTGGTTTCTGAGCTCCAGTTCTATAGAACGTCCTTGATTACATCATGGATCAGTCAGCAGCAGCGTCTGATGAATATCTGCCTGTAGCTAGGAGCGAAGCTATGGGAGGACTGTGTGTGAACGCATGGGTAGTGAATGCTGCTGGGAGCTCCTGCCCGGTCCCAAAGCACCAACTGGTGGTTCAGTCCTCGGTCCTATCACTGATGTGAAACATAAATCTGTTGATCTGTGTTTGATTACTCTGGCTCTCCAGATGTGTGACACAAAAATCTAAATTTTGGAACTGAAATTGAATTATAGAACTGAAAGTGAAAGTAGTCAAACTGAATATTCAATACAACAAAATTCAGTTTCAAACTATTAAATTTAGTTTCAATTTAGTGAAATTTATATTTAAATCAATGCATTCAATTTTGTGTGTGTGTGTGTTCAGTCAATGCATTCAATTTCAAAATATGCACACACAGATTCAATCTGAGCATTTCAAGTTTCTGCTGACACAAGTGTCTTCCCATACCTACTCAGGCACAGGATTGCAAATCTGTGGAGCTATAGATGAACAGATCTAGTGTCAATACAATGTCCTGTCATTGTTGGTGTCAATAATCTGGATGTCACTGATCTGAATACACCTCCTTCAGTCACATCAAAGTCAGAGGAAATGCAATTTGACTGCTCAGTCTGAGGTCGCTTTGAAAAACATTGATTGTGTGTCTCATTTAATACCATATATGAAAGTGACCTGACTTCAATATTAAAAATAAATTTCAGTTGTGATGTTGTGGCCAAAAGAATGTTGGATTTTAGGCCATTTTTTGCTTGTTGTGTGAACACAGCCTATGATATCAGTGAGTAATGCGGTTGTGTTTGGTGTGGTCCGTTTATGAAAATCACTCACTCGTTCTTGCTTGTTGCCCACCTAAATTCACATTGTACCCTCCTTGGCTGCCACCCCCACATTTATGATTTACCCTACTAGAACCGGGGTCCCTAAACATCAGGCTAAAAACTACTGCGGTCCAGGGATAATTTAGATCTTTGTCTAAAACAAAATAATAAAACATTTTTATTTTTTTATTTTTTTTTGGTATAAATACATTTTTATAAAGTGATCTGCAGTGATATTTTATTTGAAAAAATACACTCCTGTTTGCACCCCTTGGCTAGGCTTGACTGAGCTGCTGTTAGCTTTATATCCAGCTAAGTCTAACAAAAATGAGTAATAACAAACAGTATGGGTGACCTGGGACAGTAGCAACAAGGGACGGTTGCAACACGTCATTTTTCTCCAAACACAAACAGTGTAGAGTGATGACACTCACACTGTACATGCTCAGTTAGATGTCCCACCTTGTAAAGAAAAAGTCAACAGATTCAAAAACTGATCCAGGATTTATTTGAAAAAAAAAAAACTGTTTTTGAGGAACCAAAGTWTTTTTTTACYCAGTTTTATTTTTGTTHWACTGTTGTCACTGTTTTTGTGATCCAGCTCAAACTTATATGGTTTAAACAAGTGATCTGTTGACTTTTAACTAATCTAGTTAACATGTATCCAGATGAGCTTATTCAGCTAACACATGAGGTTTTATCATGGCTGACAGGAAGGGGGACAGTTGTAACAGTTGTTGCAACT